GGCTGGCCTGGTACCTCCAGAGGCGGCCGTCGCGCACGACGAAGTTGCCGAAGTCGCCAGGGTGCTGCGGGTGCGGCACGGACAGCGGGTTGTAGTGCGGCCCGGTGGAGTCGCAGCCCTGGCTCAGGTCGCCTAGCTGGTGCACGTGGATGGCGCGCTTGGAGCCGTTGGACTCCTCTGGGAAGCCCTCCAGGTCGAAGAAGGCCTCGAGCCGGGCCTCAGGCGTGGACTGCCGGAAGAGGACCAGGCCTCTCACCCGGGGCTGCTCGGCGTCCAGGGTGGCGGACGGCTGCACCCGACACACTGCGTGGAGCGCCGCGTCTGGCCCCCCGGCCGCCTCCCGCCGCTGCGTCAGCTCCTGCCAGATGTCTGTCACCTTGGCGTGCATGTCGCGGATCTGCTCCATCAGGTCGAGGTTGGGCTCAGTCAGGACGGGGCTGCTCAGGGTGTGCGTGGGACCCGCCGCCAGAAGCAGGCAGCCACACAGCAAGGCCAGCATGGCCAGGGTCTGCACCTAAGGGGTGCCCCGCGGGCATGGGGAGAGCACCTCGGTCATCTGAAATAGCAAGTCTCAGGGACTCCACCCTCATCCCACCTCCCGGCCCCCCAACGGCCTTCCTGGCCCAGCTGACATTCATTCATTCGGCAGATGGGCCTGTTTTGTGTCCAGGGGACTGGGCGAGGTGCTGCGTTTGTAAAACTGGGTGAAACCCTATCTGGAGAAATTCAGAACTATGGTCTCCTGGAGTCCTGTCTGCAGCGCCAAGGGACTGTCAGGGCCATCCAAGCGTCTGGGGCCCTTCCAGACTCCGCCTTCTACGTCTCAAGCCTGACCCCTTGCGGTGCTTTTCCACATCCTGCCGGCAGACAGCCAGGAGACCTCCTCCAGCCTCCCAGCCTCCCCACCTTGGCCCTCGGACTTAGGAGACACACGCTCGGCTCTATTCATAGGTAACCCGGCACCTGGGCCCGCAGCAGGCACTAGCAGAACCATAACCTTGAGGGAGATTGAGGGAGGACACCCTCGTGAGCAGCATTAGGGTCCCCAAGCCATTCCAGCGTTATCATGTGATTGAAGTTGGAGCCTTGTGTTGGGGTAGGACAGAGAAAGTCATGCCCATCCCCGGGGGTTCTCCAGGAGGTATTCCCAGAGGAGGGAACTTCTGAGGTGGGTTCTTCCAGATGAGTAGGAGTTTCCCTTTTAAGGCAGGAGGACTCATGGGAGGCATTCCAGGCATGCTCATGGGAATGAGAGGGCAGAGTTCAGGGCTGGAAGAAATTCACCGTGGCCAGAGCACCACCTCTGTGACTATAGATTATAGTTTCAAGAGGAAACCCCGAGCCAGGGACAGTGTGACAGAGCTTTTCCAACAGTGAGGGGAGACCCAGGTTTAGCAGCACTGGCAGGAAGGTAGAGTGAGCAGCAGAGGTGGCTGAGGTTTCCAGCAGGGGACACCCAGTGCAGTGGGGGGGTGAGTCCCGGGGCACAGTCCCTTGGTCTGGCCTCCGTGAGGACATGCGCTGACTCTGTTGACTCCACATCAGAGGCTGGCTTTTAAAAAACAGATGCTCAGGCCCCACCCAGGAGATCCTAATTCAGTGGTGGGCTTCCTTGTATAAAGGAAAGCTCAGAGATTCTGGGGCCCAGGAGGGGACTGTGGAGTCAGGTCCAGATTTGAATCTCAGTTACAACACACAGAGTCGACCCTCAGGATCGGTGGGAGCCTGGGGTCCCAGGGCACCCCTCCTACTCTGTGGATTCCAAGGTCTGTGGGAGCTCAAGTCCGTTACATGAAATGACACAGTATTTGCACATAACCTACTCACTTCTATCCCTATACTTTAAAGCTCTCTAGGTTACTTTTTACATTTCCGTAAGTGCTATGCACATAGTTGTTATACTGTATTGTTTAGAGAACGAGAAAAGAGTCTGTTTAGTACAGACGTAGTTTGGTTTTCTCTGAGTGTTTTCCATCTGAGGTTGGTTGAACCCAGAGGTGCAGAATCCATGGGTCCAGGGAGCTCACTGTCCTGTGACCTCCAGGGCTACTAACTTTCTGGCCTTAGGCTCCTGCCTGTGAAATAAAGCCAGTCCCACCACAGAGGGGCATGCTGAGGACTGGGTGAGGTATTTATAAGCCAGGCTTCTTCCACATTTTAAAACCTGCCCAGAGGGACTAATGATGCCTCTGAAAAACTAGTTGGAAGGTCAAGTGCACATTAAAGGCCCTTCTCCAATCCCAAAGTAGATGCCATTTCCCAAAACAAATCCAAGACTGGGTCTGTGTTCTCCACAGAGCCGTCACAGGAAGGCTATTTAGTATGGCAATTACAAGAATGGATTCTGGAACTCACCTCATGAATTGAAAGCCTGATGGTCCCCTGAGCTCTAAGAGCTAGCTGTCATTATCACGTTTTATACAAAGCAGTAGAGTAAATGCTGGGTTGCAAAGTGTCCACCGGCCTGCCTCCCCTCTGAGCCTCAGCTCTCTCAGCTGCAGCTGGTGTAGTAATGCTCACCTTTGAAGCTTGCTGACAGGCTGAAAAGAGACACTTAGAATTGCTGAAATGTGGTCTGCTCTAAGCCCCACCCCACGTCATGAAGCACCTAGCTACGGCCTGCAGCTCAGAACCTGGTGTGGAGAGTAATCAGCAAAGAAGCTACAATGGAAATGTTGGGACCATCTGCTGAGAAAGCCACGGAAACCGTAGAGGTAGCACATGCCCAACCACGTCTCCAAGGAGTAGCCAGGAAGGTGGGACAGGAAGCAGAGAAAATGACACCCAGGGACCAGCCTCTAACTTGGCCTGGTGTGGCATTACTACTAAAACCTCGGGAGTGGGCAGGGACGCAGGGGACTTCCCTGGAGCCTTGCCGGTGGGGACCTGCTTCTGGGGCCAGCCTGAGGCCCAGCAGTGCTCTGCACCTGGAAGAGTTTTCCTTCCAAACAGAGAGCAAAATCAGGCTGTCTCGGGTATCCATGGACTTTGTTTTTCAGGAGTACATGGGCAATAATAAAGATTTGAAAGAGCTGCTTTTCTGTTAAATCAAAAAAAAAAAAAAAAAAGAAAGGAAGAAAAAGAAAAGACTTCTGACCCCCAGGGAAACTCTGACTCCTGGTTTCTCAGGCCTCTGCCCTCTCTGTCTTGGGGCCCCCGGATGGGGCCCAGCCTTCTGGGACAGCTCCCTTCCAGTTTCACGGTGAACACACACACTGGTTTTTAGCACGTCTGTGCATGGTCTGCAGAGGACGATAAGGCTATCAGAGAGAAGCCACCAGGGCCCGTGTCCCGAACCAGAGGAAGTCACCAAGCCTGTGCCTCCCTCCTGGCTCCGTATCTGCAAGAATTTGAGCCTTGAAAACTCCTGAGCCTCGGGTGAGCTTGCATCCCTGCACTCCGTCCCAGAAGGAGCCCTGGTGGGAGCTGGAGATGGCCCGGCCAGGGCCTTGGCTTCATACCTGTCCTAAGCGTTGGTTGTCTAGGGTTCCTGCTGTCCCTCAGTAGCTCTGACCCCAAAGCCAGGAAACCTCCAGTGAGGCAGCTCAGAGAAATCTACGTCTCATGAGATTTCTTTTTCCTAATGCTCAAGTCCTCCTGGACTGGTCTTTGCAGGGCTGGAAGGGTAAACAGCTTCTTTCTCTCCATCGCCTTCCTCCTCCAGAGCAGTCAAGCTTTTCCTTAAGTGTCTCTCTCCCCCACACATGACCAAGCGCATTCCCAAGACGAGACCTCCTGCCCCACCTGGCTGCCAGCTCTTAAAAAGCACACACCGAGAAGAAGAGAACCACTCCGAACTTGGCACCCACCTGGCCAGCCCGTCCAGGAGACCTTTCCTCCTGCTGAGTGGGAGCAGCACCTCTGACGACTGCAGAAATTCAGGCTGCCTCCTGGGCTGGGTTGTTTGTGAGCTGAGGGAAGCCAGCCCCGGGGAGTGGTCAGCAGGAGGGAAGAAGGTCATTGGGCCCGTCCCTGGAGGAGAAGCCAGCCAGATGTCCCTTGTTGCAAAATCATCTCACCTCCTCCCCCTCCTCTGTCCCCACCTCCCTGTCCCTTCCCATCCTCAGCCCCTTTGCCAAGTCTGCTTTTTCATGACGTCCCTGGCTTCTGCAGATGTAGCCTGTGACCTTCAGCACACAGTGGGGAAATAAACAGCAGAAAGAAAATAGCCTGTCTGGAGAGGGGCACAATGGCTGCTTTATGAGTGGCCTCCTATTTTCCCCTGATTTCCTCAGCTATTGACTTATTTTTGCAGGATGCTGGTCTGTGTTTAAGACAAACACAGGCTCTTGGCCCTTGTGTGGGAGTGATGCTTTCTCCAGGGCTTGGCGGTCACTGTGAAGAGGGAGCAGTGCCGAGCTCTGGTTTTGTCACTTCCTAACTGTGTCCCGGGACCCCTGACACCTTCCCTTCAGCCTCTGTCAAATGGACACGCAACACGGGCCACCCTGCACCATCACTGTGAAGATGAAACAATACTGTCACGCAAGTGTGATCCCCACCCCCAAAAGAAGTGCAGACCCAGTGCCTGGCTTTCCTAAGTCAGGACATTAACACCACTGTCATTGTCATTGTTGTTATTAAAATGACAGAGGCGCCTTTTAAAAGGGTACATGGTCTTTCAGGGGCAACCGGCAGGCTTTCCCTTCTCGAGGTCCTTTTCTCTCTTGCTGCCACAAACTCTTCTCAATCACAGCAGCTTTTTCTGGAAATAGAAGTCTTCCTTTCCCAGAAGAGCCCACAGGGAAAAAGGCAGCTTGCTGCTGCCTGACTGTCCTCCTGGGTCCCTTCAACAAATGGCCTTTGGGTGCTCCCCCCCTGCCAAGCTGTGCTCTGGAGGTAAAAGACTGTGACCACGCTGAGCGCTGGGGACCCAGAGCTGCAGGATCCTTGGCCCCCTGGGGTTCCCACTCTGAGAAAGGAGACAACAGCAGTGTGGATGAGGGGAGTACAGCTGGGGAAGGAGGGACAGGCCCCCCCTGGGGTCCCCAGCACCAGCCCTGGCAGCAGGAAAGCTTGTAGAATAGTGTAGGCCTCTGCACACCACCCCAGGCCAGACAAACGGATCACAGGGATGCCTCCTGAAATACTTAGTTTTCAAAGCCGGTGGTCTTGATGGGCATCCAGGTTTGTGGTTGGCATAAAAAGCTCAAATGAAAGATTTTTGTGCAGAGGCAGCCATTCCAGAAGGTAAGATGGAAAATTCCCAGAACGCAGGACTTCCAGCCCTCTGCCCTGCTTGGGCCTGGAGCTGAGGATTTGCACAGAGCAGTTCAGTCCTGCAGTTCTGCATTCCATGGTGGGCGTGGCTGTCCTCCACGAATGAGCTTCCAAGTTCCAGATGCTACCCCCCCACAGCCCTTTACTTTCCCATTGTGAATTGTTCATCCAATTAAAAAAAAATACTTATTTTCACTCAGTTCTTGAAATAACTATAAGGTCATAGCTACTGTTGTTTAGACAATTGTATTCCTTTTAAGGCCCGAGAAAGCTCTCCTCCTGCTCTGTTCTGGTATTTTCTTCTGAGAAGACACTTTTTGTCTCACAAGTAGTATTGCGTGAGGGATCATAAATTATAAATTGACACAGTATCTCTCTGAGGCCCTCTTTGCCCTGCCCTATGGGCCGGTTTTGGAATGTGGAAAGCCGGCTTCCTCTCCGTCACCGCTGAGATCTTGATGGTCAAAGAGGCTGTGAAGCCCGCAGAGTGGGATGAAATCTGCTGAGGACAAATGTGTGTGTGGGGTGAATCTTGTCTCTTTTATGATGTTAAACTTGCACATTCAACCATACTTCTAGGCTGTTCCAGGAAAACACTACTCCTCCCCCTGCACTGGAGATGAAATGGTGGCTAGCGGGAGATTCTTTGTCTCTGTTCCCAGAAAACACTGATCTTCCCAGAGCCCTGTTTTCCTGCAGTTCTTGTCTCTTTCTCTTTTTCTTTCCCGCTGTGTGTCCTAACTCTGGGCAGGAGGTTGGGGACTCATTGCCGGGGCCCTACAACTGGCGCCCTGGAAAGGGTCATTAATAGTGTTGCCTTCTCCCCTTGCTGCAGGTGGCTCAGGGAAGCTCTTCAGGGACGATGAGATGTAGTGACACTTTTGCTGGGGCTGTTAAAAGAGATACAGCCTCTCTTTCCACTGGACTTGAAACCCTGGAAGGGAAGGCTGGAATTACTGTGGCCACCATATTTCACTAAGGGAGAACCCTTTTGAGGATAGGGCCAAAATGGAAGAGAGTACAATAAAACTAGAATGAAATCTGGACTCAGTGCCAGTGTTCGGGCCACTGGATCTAGCCATACCTGAAGCTCTGTTCATTTTGTAAGTCAGTATATTCTCAGTTTGCTTAGACTGTTTGGGATGAGTTTTCTAAACTTATAACTGAACATTTTACAAAGCATTCTCTCCGATAATGTATTTTTTAATACTTGCAATACATTTATGGAGTTGACAGTAATCTGTTGATTTTATCAATAAGGGAGTTTGGAAAAAAATAATAGGGCCAAAGTTATAGACATAGCAAAATCACAATTTAAAACTCAGGACTCTGACTCTTAAGCGTGGTCTTTTAGTCATTACACTTTATTATGAACTTAAAAAAGAAAAGTTAGAAACAAGTATCTGATAAATAAGTATAAATTTTGCAACTGTCTTTGTAATGTCAATAGCCACCTTGCAAATAGACACTGAAGCATTGACTTCCACACTTTTTACATCTGACAATGAATAATACAGCAGAAAATCAAGTGGGCGTTGTTAAGTAGCTGCTCCAGGAGATGCACTCAAAAGCAGTCCTCCTGCCTACCTAGGAGAGCTCTCTGCTTGAGAACTTCGTACCTTTTCTGCAGGAACTCAAGTTGTAAATAGTTTCCTTTCTACCCGGTTTGCAGAAAATGGATGGAATTAAGTTCTATCAGTTAGCAGATAGAGTGGTTACTATCAGGAGAAAAATTTTGAAAGTGACAGCAAGGATTTCAGATCGCCTCGCCCCAAAACTGGGTTTGGTACAATGAGAGTTTACCCAGGCTGAGTACTTCAGACCCACCTGAGAACACTTCAAGTGCATCTTACCTGCCTGGAGCTTTCCCAGAAGCCCCCTGGGGAGTAGAAGTGGAATCCGAGAAGTACAGAGTTCAATCTTGTCCAAGCACACCTGGGTATTGCAGGAAAAAGTAGATCCTTACTGAAAAAGTGATCAGGAAGCAATGAAGCATCCGTCTTATGAACAGGAGTGAAATAATAACAGCTAACATTTATTAAATGCCGCTTGTGTGTCAGGCACTTGCTATGCAGTGTGCGTGCAGCTTTTCACTCATATTAATAGCGCTGGCTCTCGGTGAAGAAGACAAGTTGCATTCTGGTCCATGTTATATTCAGGCAAGTTTCCTTTTCATGGTGAGCATGTCACCCTTCCCTTCAAACATGGTCACCTGGAGAGAAAGACCTGTGGTAGGACACAAAAGAAATGCCTTTTCTGACCCAACGCGTGTAGACTGTTTCCTGGGAAGAACACCAGAGTGAAAGCCCTCCAGGCTAAGTTCCTCATGGACTTGACTTGCCCTTCCTTCTTCGATGCCCCATCCCTGGGAGGAAACTCTAGCCATTGCTGCTTTGCCATAAGAAAACACTATGGTAACTTTAAAGCATACCCAGTGTAGCACTTACTTCCTCAGAAGAATTGCCTCTATTTAAGACAAGAGAAACATTGATCAGTTTACTCTCTCACTACATTTATTTAACATTCATTGGTCCTAACAACCATATTTGACCCTCTTCTTACTGCTTCCTGCTTGAAAAGCTGGGAAATTAGACCTTTGCTTTCCTGGAATCTCTTTTAAGTAGCAGCAGTGACGTGACCTCATTTGAACCAATGAGGCATAAACTGATGCCATTTTGAGGAATGCTTCTACTTTCTTATAAAGGGGACAGAAATGGCTGTTGATGACCCCTTTCCTCTTAACTAAAATGTGGGCATGATGCCTGGCAATGTGGCAGCTGCTTTGGGACCATACATTGACAGGAATAAGAACATAGACCATCACACATGGATGGCGGAAGGGAGAGGTGGAAAGAGTTTAAATCCTTGAAGACCTCAGTATTTAACCCACAGCAGCTGAGCTCCAGACCTCCTGTGCTAGGAGAGAATACACCTCATGTGTTTCACTGCTGGTGGGTTTCTATTACTTGTAGCTAAAGAGATGCAATTATGTGTTGGCCCCTGCACTGGGCTCCATGACCCTGAGGATATGAGAGTCACAGTCTTCCTTCTAAGGGCTCATGGTCTATTTGCAGAAGTCTTATCTGAGAGACCACTAAGGCTCATTCTCTTCACCCTCCCCTGCTGCTCCCTTATTCACCCTTCAGTATCACCATGGACTTGAATATCTTCCCTAGTCTGAAAGCCAGGGTGGTGCATCCCCCTCCCTCCCTCCCCACCCCCAGAATGGCCAAAGTAACAGACAAGATGGGCAGGAGACCCCAGAGAGTTGTGCGTATCGCCATGTGAGGGGACTAGGATCTGAGGACAGAGGGGAGGTGGCCTTCATTCCTCCTGGGATAAGGGAAAACCGTGGCTGGAAGGAAACATGGAGGAAAGTAAGGTCCTCTGACTCAGCCTCTATTTTAGAAAAGTAATTAGGAAGTTAAAATGCTGACAGGATTCAAAAAGCCTCAGATCCAAGGCCCGCAGAAGAAAACAGTCAGGGAGGCAGCTTTGCGTCTCACTCAGCAGTGGATCTAGTATGACTCTTAACTGATGCTCCCAAGTGGAGCAGATCCTAGCTACCATCATAGCTTTACTCTACCATCACCCACCAAGGCCAGCCGGAGAGGTAAAGCCGAGGGACACAGGCATCTAGAAAATTAGAATATTCTGTGTTAGCGTTCTAGCTGTCGGTTTTGAATTTCATGTTACAGAA